AAAACAACCTCAATTAACGTTGGATTATCCGATGAAAATTTGGGATACGTTGTGCAATTGATTGATGTGTTAACATTTTACAAGGAAAAGTTGTATAAATATAGATCAATTGAGCTTAATCGAATAAGAGAATCAACATAACCTATTCTAGAACTTAGCTTTTGAAGCATGGTCACATTTCCTTTTATCGCAATAGCTGATGGTCACACTGGTAAACTTTTTATGACGCAGACATTAAATTCGAATTTAAATTTATCTAAAATTTAAACATGTTGATTAAAAAATATCTTATTTTGTAAATAATTAAATATAAATATAAAAACATAGAACTTTTCTATTCTAAGACTAATTCCTGTAAACCAGAAAATGTATAGAACCCTTCTCCGTTTCTAGCCACAAGTAAACCCAAATACTTGGCCCAACCACAGCCCTCGTTCCCATTAATCTCACTTACAAAATTGGCCCCCTTAACAGATTTTACTCAAAACAATTAACCCGCCAAAAAGAAAGCCCAAAAAAAGCTAAGAAAAAGGCAGCAGCAGCACGGCAACGATGTCAATGATGACGACAAAGCGCAGATTTCTATGATCGCGCAGTGAGTGTGTGAAATGCGGAAAGCTGCTCCAATCACTCATTTGTTACATGAGCAACAGCACATGAAGACGACGGGGGGGAAGAAACGAGGAGGAGAAAAAAATAAAATAAAATAAAAGGAAAGAAAAGAAAAAGATTGTGAAAATGTGAAATGTAAATTTCTCGTTTGTGTGTTCAAACCGACAAAACCGAAACCGAACCAAAACGCCAATTGCTGCAAAGTGATTACGAAAAGTCGCTCTCGCCGTCGTCTCTTTCGCTGCAGTCGCTTTCTCTCGCCTCTCCGCAGAGTTTCACCCGCGGCACGAGTGCGGAAGTTATCCCACGGCAGCTTTTTCGGATGGCTGAGATACAGTATCTCTCGCCGCCGCCGCGCCACCTTTTACAACTCCATTTCGCATCTGTATCTAGCGGATGCAACTGGCCTCAGCCTCGTAACTCGCTAATCGCTGGCTCGAAATCTTCAGCCCTCTGCAGCTTCCCTTGGAGACCTCACTTCGCATCAATTAACACTTTCGGCAACGCACCAAATCGACGCCACTACCGCCGACCCACGCAATCGAGTGAGCAAGCGAGCGAACGAACAGCCTCCAATTTTGATTGCTTTGATTTCAATTTTGTCATCTGAGGTGATTACAATGTTGCACCGTGCTCGAAACGTGGCCATAAATGAGTAATCGTCCATAATCATCAAAACAGACCGTAAAATTAGTTGCGTTTTATTTATGGCTCATAAATGGATAGTCAACTTGTGGATTACTACAGGCCGTCAAGTTATTTGAAATAAGCTCAATCTTTCGAATATCTGAGGGTTACTTAACACTTTATTATCAAGTTTTTCTGTAAATAATTAAAATAATTATTATTAAGAATAGCCCATTATTTGAGCTTAGTTTCGGAGGCAAGGGCACACTACTGGATTCAGCAGTAACTTCTGGTAACACTGGTAAACTTAAGCTGATACCTGATTAAGTTCGGTTAAATTTTTATTTTACAAGCCAAATTCAAATAATTTCCAAACCACTGTGCCGAGGGAATGACGGCGCCTGCCTTGATTGAAAATTGGGTTATTGTCAGCGACCCATTCAAGCGGCAGGCGGCGGTGTTATTAAACTTTTGTTTTATTTATGGAAATTAGTGTCAAGTAAATCATGTGCATGAGCACTATTTTGCAGTATTATCGCCGCCATAACCGTTCACATTCAAGCATATGTAGATTGGAAAGCATTAGACGAATATTTCAATTTCTAAATCCACATCCGATGATGATGATGATATAAGTGTGAGCCGGTGAGAGGCCACTGAGGAGCAGCATCAGCAGGGGTCAGGCAGCTGGGCAATGTGAAAGTCCCAATGAAATTGAGACTCATTGAAGATTCAATGACTAAGTGGAAAGGTGAACCAGTTGGGATTGCTTGGTGTTTCCGCAAAAACCAAATTGAAAGGAAGTTGAACCGAACGCCGCCGCCTCCAAGCGAATTATTAAAATGAAAAAAAAAAATGCCCAAAGGTCGCTGAACGAACGTTTGTCGCCGGCCTTTGATTTCGATGATGAGCAAATCGCCATGGGATCTATACATATAGATGTATATATCCCCCCTTATATAGCCTCTGTGGCATAATTAGCCGAGTGGGCGGTGATAACTTTGAAATTGATCGTGATGATCGGACACACAGACGAAGCTTCAGTGTATTTTATGTGTGTGCGGTTTTTGCCTTGGAATTTCGGTAGATTTATTGAATAGGCAGACCGTGAACCTTTTAGTAAAAAACCTTTTCAATTAAATTCTATTCCAGCAACAAACTTCTTTATTTAAATTATAAACATTTTATATTTTCCAGACAAAGAGTTTACTATAAACCGCTATAGGCTCTCAAAATGCTCACCAGTGACAGTTTTAAGTACTACTTTATTGCCTTGGTTTCAAGGCAGAAGCAAAATCTTGGCTATAACTCAATTACCCAACCAATTTCACAAGCCCAAAGACCAAAATACCAGACCCCCGCCCACAAGTGCGACTTTCAACACCTCTTCGTGCGTCGCAACTTCAAAGGGTGCTGGTGACTGAATGGTTGGTCCTACGACTACGAGGGCCGCATTACTGTCCAATTTTCACACATTCTGGCCACGTCGAGGAGGAACGCCGGCCTTTCCCATCCCATCTAACTAATGAGCAGGCAAACACTCACTTACACACAAAGTACAACACATGATTTGCGCGACGGACAGGCTAGGCCAGGGCAGGGCAGGACAGAAGCTGAACATGAAACTGAAACTGATGCGATCTGAGCATGAGCTGGTGTGTGGCCCTCAGCATTTCCATTTCCATATCCCAAAAGGACACACACGAAGCCTTTTGGCCTTATGCTAATTTGCACGCCATAAATGGGACGAATGTGCCGAGTGGCGAGCGGTGGCATGTGAAGTGTAGTTGCAGTTGCACATATACACTGTGAAAAAAAAAAAAGAAAAGAAAAGGATCCGAATATTCTATGATCTAAATTGTTTACATTATCCTTTCTAAAAACATGAACTTAAAAAAATAGTTTCATTTTGAATTGAATATTCCTTATTTTTTACTGGCTTATCCATGAGTTCTATGGCTTTTCTCCCAGTGTTCCTTGTAGTGGTTATTGCCGTTGCAGATGCAATTGTTGCAAGTGGAAAACTGCCGCGGCCTGCCACGAATCAAGGATGAGGAGTGGCAGGCTGTGGAGGATAAAGTGGAGTGGATTTTGGAGTACAAGTGGACGAGGGCAGGGTGGCTGAAAAATCTGCAGCTGGGTGGCCTTTGGCTCTGGCCCCGGTCTTCTGATGATGGGTGACTGCCAGCGACATGTGTTGCTTGCTCCTGGCTCCTCGCTGCCTCATTCATCGGATCCTCGTTGCTCCTATGTGGCATATACATACATAGTTGGACGATGGCTAATGCCACCAACATCGACAACGCCCCATTTGGATACAGACACACACGAGAGTACAATGTGCGCCACCCGAAAAAGCGACAAAAAAAAAACATTAGCTGACAAAGGACGACAGCTTGACAGAAGTTCCCTTCTCCTGCGTAGAATCGGGTGTTCCAATGTCAACTGTTCCTGCAGGAACAACAGATAGAGGTTCACTCGAAGAAAAAGCTTAGTTCAATGCTGATAAGACATAAAGAAGTCTTTGAAATAGTCTTTATACTAAAAGGTGAAATTAATTCGAAATCAATCTTATAGCTTAAATCAGTCATTAAGTTACTGATGGGGTTAGTAGCAACAAACGAAACAAGTGCATTGTTTCATTCCATTGTTCCTAATATAATAATAGAGGTTATTCTAATCTAATCCTTGTATTAACTCATGAACAATATACTTAAACGTAAATAAAATTCCGCGAAAGGTTGCTAAATTGTCTCCCTTGGAAAATTGATCAATTATATTTCCGCAATGTTTTGTTCGAAGGTGGCTCTGACTTGTCCCTGCTCCTTGAAGGCTTTTCCGTATCCCCGCATATTCGATATGTGTCTATATGTATATATAGCTATGTGGAAAGGAAGCCCCTGAAGGCCAAAGGAGATGAGGACAGAAGGAGGCGATGCCAGCTAGCAGAAGGCCAGTGGAAAAGGGGAAGGGGATGAGCAGCACCGGATCGGACCGCCTGTGTGACCAAGCGATTACCGTTTATCGCCACGCCAAGGACCGCCGGCAAAGGCAAAGCCAAAAGCAAAGTCACAACCAAAGGCAATGGCAGAAGCGGCCTCCGTCCTGCGACCACACAGATACTCAGATACTACAGATACACGCGCGTTTACGCACAAGCACACGCAATATACGGATACACGCGCAATAATTTATCAGCTGGCCCTCAACTCGCTCTCTCTCGCTCTCGCGCCCATGCTTTCGCCCTCGCTCTCGCTCTTTGCACTTGCGCTCGATTTTCAGTGTCGCTCTAACCTCTCGCTCTCTCTGACTCTTGCCATTGCTTCCTTTTCGTACCCTGTAATTGTAGGGTATACGAGTAGTTTATAGTTCCATGAAATAAAACCGCTGATATTTCGTCTACCTTAGCTAGCATGACGTTATAAAAAGTTGATATCAAAACCAAGTGTCGTTCCCAAAAATTTCAATAACAGGGTATCTCGTTATTGAGACCCCCCACCCCACAAACAAAAACCTTTCCCACTCGTTTCCCATATGTGCTCATCGACCTCACCGAGCCAAAACGAAAGTGTGGGTGTGCGTGTGTGTTACATGGTGAAACGTCGCGCGAGAGATGTGTGAGAGAGAAACGACACGAAGCGAAACGAAACGAATCGGGACAAAACGAGAGAGAATTGAAACGCGGTGAGCAGCGCTGTCGGCGCACAGCCATCGCAGTCGACGTCGTCGTTGCCGTGAACACTGGCGGAAATTTGTGTATTTCGAAGTATCTGCTCATTTCAACGCGCACTTTCAAGCGGAGCGGTTCGGCTTTTTAAGTAATCTATAAATAAAATAAAACTCGATTCGATTCCGCTCGCTTCGTTGTGTGTCGCCTTTAAACAAGTTGGAAATATCTAAGAAAATACACAAAGAAAAATCAAATACTAATCGTAAAAGAGCAAAATAAATATACAAACGGAATGTGGCCACAAAGAGATTAAACGGAAAGTTGAGCAATTGGCAAAACCAGAAATCTAGAAATCTGTGCGTGCGCGTGTGTTCAATAAGTTTGTGCATTTGAAAAAGTTGAAAGAAAGAAAAGCAAGCAAAAAGCTAAAGTAAAATGTTTGAGCCCTATGTGAAAATCAAGAAAAAGCGAAATGTGCATGAAATTTATGAAAACGAGAATTTAGAGCAGCAGCGACAGGAGCAACAGCAGCAGCAACAGCAACCTGCCACTGCAGCTGGGGATAATTGTTGCTGCGAGAATGCGCCCGAAGTTGCAGCAACATCTGTAGTAGCAGCATCAACGGCAGCATCAGCAACAGGAGCTGCGGCGGCAACCAGCAGCAGCAGCGGCAACTGCAGTCGCCTGCAGCAATTGATATCGACGCCACCAGTATTATTGCGGCAGCAGCAGCAACACCCACAACTGCAGCAGCAGCAAGCTGCGCCTTCGGTTTTGCAACAGCATTTGGGTCACCTGAATTACGAAAGTGGAGCAACTGCAGCGGCAACAACCAACAGCGGCAGCAGCAGCAACAGCAGAAGTGGCTCGGCAACACTGGCGCAGCATTTGGCAAGCCCCAGCAACATATTGCAGGCGGCATTCGGCAGCAGCAACTTGCAACACATATTGACGCGCGCCGCCCCCGCCCACGTGCCCGTACCCTCGCCGTCGCCGCCCTCCTCCTCCAACAGCAGCAGCAGCAGCAGCAGTAATAGCAACAACTGCAGCAGCGCCTGTGCTGGAAATACGCACTACAACGGCGGCAGCAGCAGCAACAGCAACAGCATTATTGCCAGCCGCCTGTTTGGAGCGGCCTCCTCCTCATCCTCGTCGGCATCACCCTCCTCCTCATCCCACCATCTGCATGGCCACCACTCGGCGCTGACCAACTCCATAACGAATCGCATCAATCAGTCCATTCGGCGGCATCTCAACCAGCAGCAGCATCAGCATCCCCTAAGCGCCTCCTCCTCCTCTTCCTCCTCGTTGTCGTCGTCGTCGTCCACCTCATCCGCGTCCGCGTCCTCCTCCTCCGCCTATCAGCACTATCATCATCATCACCATAGCAGCAGCAGTGGTAACTCCAGCAGCAGCAACAGCCATCATCAACACCACAACTCTGCAAATACAAACCAACAGCAACCACAACAATCTCCTCTGTGCCTAGTATTATTAGTTAAATGCCCAAATTCCAAGGAATTTTGTAACGCCGCCGCAAATTTCTGTGATAAAAGGTAAATACAACAATGAGTAACTGCTCCCTTTAAGTTAAAGTCTCTTTGGGTATTCAGAATAAAATAATACTATCTCTGGTTTAAATGCCAGAAGCTGACATTTCCCATATGAGCCTCTAAATCTATTTAAATAGCAGTAGCAATCTAGTATTTAAATAATAAGTAAGAGGTGGTCTGATGAATGACAAAAGATGAACTTTAAAGACTTATCTGATGAGGTTTTCAATTTAAAAATTAAACCTCTGGCGATTTCTATTATTTACTGTAATAATATGAAAGAAAAGAACTGAATTCTACTCTACCTACAGTTTTCAATACATAAACCCTTCACTTTTATAAAGAAAGAAGGAAACTATAATACAATGGAAGGCCAACTAAAAATAAACTTGGACTACTTTTAATTAGAAAGCTAAAACCTTGGCAATAGCTATGATAAAATCTATTCTAAACAACCTATAAATTATTTAGCTTGTCTCAAAGAACTTTTCTGTATCCGGAAATAAAGTTTCCCCTAGGCTACAACCACTGATATTTCCAATAGACACCCCACGAAAGGCAACAAGTTTATGGTTAAACCAAAAGCTGGCCTAGAATCGTTAGCACCCCCACATCGAAATCCCAAAAAACCCTCAAGATGTAGCTCTGCTGTGTGTGACCCAGTTTCGTTTCCCAGGACCTTTCGCTCCGCTTCCTAAGCAGCTACTTGCACCCTGAACTACTTGGGTTTGGCTGTGGGTTCAAGTAACCATTGTCACATCCTTGAATTACGGCCACAACAAACCCACCAAGCCGAAGCAAACAAAACACAACAGTTTGTTTTGTAAAAGTTTCTCTGCTATTTTGATTGTTTGCCACACCGTCGAGTGTGCGTGTGTTGGACGTTGATATATACAATACAATATGCAATATATATGTGTATATACATATATATTATGTATATTTAATTTTGATGACTTGTAGTTTCCGAGAGTTATAGTCGCTTCGACTTTAGTTTTAGTTGGCGCAACCTCGAGGGTTTTTTTTCTGATGACCTTACTTGCGTAAGTAATTGGTTTCTTTAGTGTAGCGGCAGCCGATGATGATTTGCTTACTTATTCCATTGATCACCCCGCCCCGGGTTTAGGGGAGCACAGAACCGAACTGGCCTGGCCTGGCACTGGTGTCGTAACTCTGCCTTCCCGGGCGAATAATAAACAAAACTTAAGTAATTAAGTTCTCTCTGTGTATCAGCTGCCGCCGCCGACGCCGCCGCCACCCTTAATAGCTGCTTGCTTTCTCTCTCGCAGCCTGCTCTCCTTTTCGCTCTCGTGGCTGCTGCTGGCTTTCACACGGTGACCCCAAAAGGCGTTCGCCTAACCTCAAAAAGATGAACGGAAAATATATAACAATTTGGTAAACACAAAACTTTTTTACTCGGTTTTTTGTTTTAGCTGTTGCCTTTTTTTATGCTGATGCGTTGTTCTCCACTGTGTTTTTACTTTTCCGTTTTTTGTTTGAGTGGCACTCAATTTTCGGTTAATTAATGGGCGTGGGCGAAATGAGTGCACGGAGAGAAATTAAGCTCAATATTTGAAACCAGTTAAAGAGTGGTCAAAGTTGAGATTTTAGCTTGTGATGTTTAGGGTTCCCTTTCTTTGTGTACTTTTAGAACCTTTCACTTTATCCACTTTTTGCACTAAATTCCCATGTACGAATTCGGTGACACTAGGAAATACAAATAGGCTTTGTGGTAAGGCCTTATTATGCTTAATCTAATCGGTTTAAATTGCACGAGACCTAACAAGGTCGTACATTTTATTCTTTCAAAATAACTAAGCAATTTTGTCAGCCAAAAACTTGGTTAAATAATAATCATAATGAATGGGATAACCCATAGTTTTTTTTTGCTGTGCCTCTGCTTGCGTGCTAACCTTTGTCATTTGGGGTCAGCAAACAGCTGCAGCAGCAACATCTACAGCGACAGCTGCTGCTTTGTCATTGAAGAAGAGAGCTGGAGAAACGAGAATCGAGACCATGGCTCGTGCTTGGGTTTTTTCTTAGTGCCTACTGCTGCTGACCATGTGCCAGTAATTGTTATTATTTATTCTCTGCCTTTCCCCATTCACTTTTCACTCTAGGGCTGCGTTCTGTTCTGGTTTTCGTGCACTTGTTGCTCGATTTCTTTGGCCTTGTCTTGCCGGCTGCAAAATTGCCCGATAATCCGCAATATTTTCAACAAAAAAAAAAGTAGAGCTCTTTGTCTCCGCCGCCAACTGGAAAAACTGAGTCATGTACCCGCTGATTGCAGACGGACGACGGTTTTTATACCCTTGCAGGGTATTATAATTTCAGTCAGAAGTTTGCAACGCAGTGAAGGAGACGTTTCCGACCCTATAAAGTATATATATTCTTGATCACCATCAACAGCCGAGTCGATATAGCCATGTCCGTCTGTCCGTCTGTCCATCTGTCCGTCTGTCCGTCTGTCCGTCTGTCTGTTTCTACGCAAACTAGTCCCTCAGTTTTAAAGCTATCTGAATGAAACTTTGCATATAGTCTTGTATATACTCTCACTGCTATATATGTCGGAACGGGATGGATCGGACGACTATATCATATAGCTGCCATACAAATGTTTGATAAATTTTAAGAAAAAAAATTATAACTTTGCTGTTTTTAAACATTTTTGCACCATTTTTTATATGTGGCCATTTTATATTATTTCAGAATTTTGGTAAAAATTTTATGAAAATCGGACGACTATATCTTATAGCTGCCATAGGAACGATCGGGAAATTAATAGGAAAAAAAATATAGCTTCGTTGTTTTTCAACGTATTTTTATCTACTCTGAGATATAAGTCTTTTTTATTATTCTAGAATTTTGGTGTAAATTTCAGAAAAATCTGACAACTATATCATATAGCTGTCATAGAAGCGATCGGTAAATATATAGACTATGTAAAACTGTGAATGTAAAACTGTAACTGTCAAACTGTGAACATAATAAGTATAGGTAAAATGTAATGAAACTCTGTTTTGTGAGTGTTTTCAGCATTTAAATCCATAATATAAATATCAAAACCAAACTGCAAGGGTATACAAACTTCGGCGTGCCGAAGTTAGCTTCCTTTCTTGTTTATCAGTGCTTTTCGTTTGGTTTTCAGCTTCGGTTTGGGTTTGAGTGCACCCACTCTTAAGTACATATTGTAAATTATATTATACATTTTAACCCAAAATCAAACAAGAGTTGTGTAAACATTTTTGCAAGGTCTTACAGGGGGAATTACTTTTTATACAAAGTAAATATAATTACTTGTGCTTGACATAGCTAAAATATATTGTAAGAAAACTCAATAAAAACTTATTTTTCAAAATATCTGAAAAACTGATTAGCTAAAACAAAGGGACATGTTTCTTGCTTTCTTTTATTATATTGTCTTGAAATCATAGGCTCTACCCACTTCTGTCTTGATTTTATTAATAATGTGTTGTAAGTATATTTAACCTTCGGGTTTCACACTCAATCAAAGAGTGCTTAAACACTCCAGTCTTTTGAACCCGGTAACCCCTTCCTGTCTTTCGTATACCCTTCCCTCTTTTGTTTCGCTCTGCGGTTTTTGTATTTTATCTGCTCGAATGGGAAGAGACGGGAAGTTTGCTTCGCTGATTTTTGATTTTATTCGAAAGGGCCGCCCGTGTGGATATATTGCTGGTCGCTGTTACAGGTCATGTTGCAAACGACCAGCCAACATGTTGCCGCAACACTAAGCAATTGGAATTTTCACCGAAAAATCTTTATAAAATTAATAAACTACGAAAATATAAAAAAATATTTATAATAATTATATTACCTTTTTTATTCAAAATCCCTACATAATCCAAGAATTTCTACTTCACCCACATTTCACACCCAAAAATCGTAAGCCGAAAATCCCAGAAGAGATCGGAGATCAAGATCAAAATCAAGGTAGAGATCGAGATCGAGTGTCTTTCACTCACAACCCACATTTTATTTAGAACAGATCTCACCTAGAAATCGGGCGAGTGGCGAGAATCTCTTTGGCCAATAAAAAAAAAGAAGATCTTTTAAGCCAACAAGATTGCGCCTAGTGAAAGAGGGGCAGTCTTAAAAAAAGAAGCCTGAAAACGCTGTAGAAAAGGCCAAAGAAAAAAAAAAGAAAGCCCGACAAAAACAAAATGTGAAAACGCATGAAAGCCCGATCGCTCACTCGCTCACAATTTGTTTAGAAAGTGCAGAGAAAGAGGTAAAAGCGGCAAAATGAAAACAAGCCAAAAAGTTGGGGCCCCTAAAAGCGATTCAATGAAAATTGGGCACACAGCAGCACCCAGCCCAACAGCACATGTGGTTTGTGTGGTGTGGCTTATTATTAATTTATTGATTTCGAACTCCCAAACTTGTTTGCCTGTGTGAAAATTTATTATACAACAATAGCAGCTGGTAAAAAGCAGCGAAGACACGCGCTAAAACGGCCAACAACGTGCTTTTGGGGCTAAGAGAGCTCAAAAGAGCGCTTCGAAAAAGAGTTAACAAGCCAGGAGGGGGAAATGGTAGGAAAAAGAGTTAACAAGAGAGATCTGCGAACTATATGCGGCTCAGAGATACAACGACGACGTCATCAAACTGGTTTCAACGATTACATAAAGTCTCGTCGTCGTTCCGCTGTCAGCAAACTTGCTCTCGTTTTTTGTAGCTTCGGGTTTTTGCTGCTTCGGGTTTTATTTATTATTGTTTTTTTTTCCTCTTTTTTTTGTTGCTGTCGATCGGGTGAAACTCTCTGCAAACGTCGCTGCCGGCGACAGAAACGCCTACGCAAACACAGAAACAAAAAATGGGTGGTCTTACAAGATCAATTGGTTTTAAAAATGTTGTATAAAGTACTATTACTTTATGGATTGCACATATTCCAATTTATAATTCTGGGAACAATCTTAACGATCAATATATAATTAGAATATACGAGATTTTGGATCTTAAACTTTGGTATAATGATCTTAATT